CTTTCTCAAGTTTTCTTCAGATTGAACGACGACAATGAGTAATGAAACAACTATTACTACGATTGACACAGTAAAAAAGAAACTTAAAAAATATACTGCTTTAAAAGAACATGAAAAAGTAAATAGTTTTTATCGTAAAACTTTACTCTGTTTAATAATTACTTTAGGTAAAAGAATATCTTCGTAAATTACATAAAATATCTGTTACTCCTTCCATAATTCAAGTAATAACAAATAAGAATGTTAAACAAATTAATCAATTGATTTACTTTCATAGGAAACTCAAATTGATCTTCTCATTCGTCAACTTGCATCAAATAAAACAGCTAATTATAATTCATTAGCAAAAAGTTTATTAAAACGATGGTATCATAAAAGACTAATAGCAAAATCTACAAAAGTAAAGTCTACAATGAATACAAATATAACAATTGTTGAAAACAAATCGAATGATAATAGAAGAAATTCTGATGAAATAAAGTTAGAAATAATTATTCAATTGACGATTTAAATCTTTTGTTTTATTTATTGTTAGTGAATCTCAATCATCTGATGATAATAAACAACGTAAAGTTCTTTCACTTGCTCAATATCTTGAAAATAAAAAACATGTTTTATCACCATCATCAACAATAAATTCAACTCAAAATAAATTAACTGATATTCAAATTGAAATTATTAATGCACAATTTAAAGCTACGACAGAAAAATTGACTGCCAATGTGCCTGATCTTGCTGATATTCTTAATAAAAATTCAATACAAACAGATAAAATAAATAACAATCGAATTGATTCTATTGGTAAAAGACCAATTATCGAGCAACAAAAAACAAAATTTAATGATTTATGGACTGAAGATGACGATGATGATGATATTAATACGCAATTACAAATTACTCAATCAAATACAGTAAATAGTAGTAGTGTTCAGATTCAAAAAGTACGATAAACAAGCTGTATAAAATACATTGTTTTCTTCTATTTGTATAATGAAACTTATATGGAAACGCGTTTTGGTTTTCGTTTCTATGAACAAATAAAGATTATTTTTCATTTCATGAAAACATATTTTCATAATATAGTTAAACCTCTCTATTGTGGGCATCATTGGGACTAGTCAGAAGTACTCATTATTGGGCCATTTTCATTTTCTTTTTTACATCCTATAAGTATTCAGTTGCAATCGCTTGTCGGATGCTTGAGATGATCTTTTTCTTTTTTCCAACAATTAATTAATAAAAATTTTGTAATCAGAAGTATATCGGCAAGTGTTGACATGATTTAATGAAACTAGCTATTAACACAAAAATGACGAGATGTTTCACGAAACACTGTTACTATTGTCTAATATTGGTTTGTTTCTTTTAAATATGCACAGTTAGTCTATCCTCTTTTTTTAAATGTTCCATGATTGTTTATCATAACACAATACACGTAACATCATGCTTTTCTTGAATCTGCATGTGAATGATAGAACATATGATGTTCAAGTTACAGAAGTTGCTATTGTTCATGAGAAGAGAAAAAAGCGTCTACTACTCAGAATAAGAAGGTGTTCATTATGGAATGGTTTTACTGTATACTTTAAAAGTTCAATTAAGCTTACTTTAAATTATGGGTTTATTATCACTTCGGTAGATAATTTTCTTTCTAAGTCTAATTGATAAATTAATATCTAATGTGTATGTAATAAAACATTTCAGAAAGTATATTGTTTTATATTCTATTTGAATTTATGGTTATTAGAAATGCCATGTGCATTGAACATGACTGTATTTTGGACAATGACACATCATTTTGCTTGTGATAGATTAAATTTTTTTATATAGAATGTACCAAAAGTCTGCTCGAGAAAAACCTCAGTAGTTCTTTAACAGTTCAAACGGTTTACAAGAGTTTTCTAAAGTTTCATTTGATTTTCATTAACATTTTAGTTTATATTCCGTAGCTGTTTAAGACGATTAGCTACAATTGAAATATCTGACTGCATTCTTTTCAAAATATAAAAAAAAATATTTTATAGAATTTCTTTGGAGATCACTTTGATATTATAATGAGCATCTTGTGAACATTGTTTCCAACATCTTAGTTTACTAGCTATTCAATTATAATGAAAGTTGCTTTGCTTGAGATAAAAACATTCTCTCTAATGTTACTGTCTGTCAATATTTGTTATAAAGCTTCACACATATCACTACGATCGTGTAAGTTTTGTTTTGGTACAGTTATTGAGTATATTTACCTTAAATAGTTTTCATAAAATACGTTTTATTACTATTCCCTGCGACATTTTTTGCAATATGGAACAAGCTTACAATATAAATTTGACAGTTCAGTTGGGTACATGTTCATAAACATCATGAATTTCTACATTAACGATTTCATAAAATCCTTGAAATATAGCTCTAATGTATGAGTTATTTCATCTGGTTTTACTTTACCTGACTCACAGGTTTGCTTTTACAGTTGCAAGGAACTTATATTGAGCTATTACAAGAATTAATGTGAATATGACGTTGACAAGCACAAAGATTTTGTCGGAAATAAATTCAGTGAAACTTGAAAGGGTAGACTATTTAGCTATTCAAACAACATGTAAATTCTTTGAACTTTTCAAGAACTATTGACATTCTTTTTTCGATCGAACTTTTGAAATACTCGATATTTATTAATTTCATCTCAAAACAAGTATTGAACTTAGTTATAAAACAATTAATGTTGCGAAGTGTTCATTATATGCTCAATTTATTCGATGGTGAAGTAAATACCATTGAATAGTAAAATATAGTTGATAGTACTTCAGATCAATATCTAACGAGAAAACGTTCTCAATTGCCCAATCGCTTTTCGCTTAAAAATAATTGCCATTCAATCGGCCATGATGAGTGGTTAAAAATTCTGTTGTGGTTTGATTTTCCGATCTTTGCTTGTTAGATGATAGACATTTTACTCGATTTTCAATCTATCAATCTGGGATAGCTGAGAACCTGGATGCTCGAATTCCTAGCTAAGACTTTGTTCATAGATAAGCCTGATAGTCACTAAAAGCTGTTTAGATTTTGAGCTAGTACAAACGTATCCTTATCGGGATATCAGCTTGTCGTGAAAACGTTCTTCTTTTGCAAGACAGACGTTTCTTTAATGTGCAAATATCTTAGCAAGAATACATTCATTCTGGCTAAAACTTTACAGAGTTTCTAGCAACTATATAGTTTGGGTGTGAAAGTGGATACACTCTCACCCTTGTTAACAGTGGTAGATCCTGGTAGGCTCTGATAGACTCTTGTAATCCATAGCAGTCCTTAGTAGATTCTTTAAATACCTCTCTTGTATAACACGTAGACATTTTGAATTATTTTGTAATTCATTTCCGTCATGAATTCGAGAAAAGAAAGAATTCGTTGTCAACCAGAAAGAAAAGAAAAAAGAAAGGAGGATAAATGTATGTGTAGTTGTTGCTCAGATCATATGTCCAGTGGCATGACGATGGAAATGGCGTTTTCATTCAATGAAAGGCCTATTCACATTAGGGTTTTCATCTGTGCCTCATTTTGACAGTTTGTATTCCATTAAAATCTGTAACATTGAGATGCCAGATTTTACCCCGTTTGGGCGTTTTGCCTTTACATTAATGATGGACCATATCTTATTAGGAATTCGAAAAGTCTCCTGCAAAATGTTGAATCAAAGTGCTGGTGTGGACATAATTCCTGGCATCAGCATTCCCAGCCCACATCCAGACCCTCTCTGTCACCATTCGACCAATTATTTTCTGTAGCAAGCAATCAATTTCGAACATGTTTTGTATTAAACAGTAGTAAGTTGTGTCAACTCTTTCAAGATTTTGTTGTTATTTCGTCCTCAGAACAGTATGCTATGTACAGAAATCTTTCGAAATCGGATAATAGTCGTTTGACAAGACTTTTCACCAACGTAACTGAGAATAAATTCCAGATTCTTACAAAAAGTATAAAAGCATCCCTACCTAATTGGCAGACAGTTTGAGTAGTTTTAGTTTGTCTTCGGTAAAGAAACGTCACACTTTATTTAAAAGATGAAAAGAAGAGAATTGAATGATATTTAAAATACATGCAGGGACGTAGGATATCTTGGACCTGGATTCGAGTATTCCGCAACTGGATTC